TAGGAGACTCACCCAGAGGCTTAATTAATTACTTAATTCACCTTATATAATCCAATGACTAACATAAACATAAAAGTTTTCCAGAAAAGTAGGTATAAACAGAAAAGTCAGTATTACAGTAAAGCATTTTAAATTAAAAAAATGTTAACATATAATTTGGAAGATCTTATTTTGTTTGATTCTTAGTTTTAATATATTAGGCTGTGATCATTGGCAAAATTAGACAATGAATGAAACTGGTTTACTATAAATCAGACGTTGAAACTAGTTGATTTTTTTTACATGACAAGTGAAATTCAACATTTGTTTCTAGATTCAATAGTACAAAATGTATTTACAAAAACCTGAAGTTATCTTTAAAGATATATCTTTTAAAAAAATCAGTTTTATGGTCACTCACAAATCTATCAAAAAAAGGCAATGCCAACTAATTCATTACCCTTGTCGTTCCCATAATTTTTGTTCCTTTTTTTTTTTTTTTTAATATTATTGCTTTTCATCAAGCAGAAAGTAATCAGACTTATTTTTATCCATTTGGTCATTTATCATATACTCCCTTCTTCAATTATCCAGCTGTTTACATTTCTCAAACAATTCTCTTTAAATTAGGCTGTGTTGGTTTACACAGTAGTGTACCTGCTGTATACACTACCAGTATTCTAATTTATAAAATGCCAAAGCAGTTAGAAAATATTACATATTTCTTAACTCTACAAGTCTATCAGGCACACGATTCTTTTTTATTTATATTTTAAATACCCTTCCCTAATTCATTACCTGTATCTATGTACAACTGTATGGTAAATACACTAATATCTATCAGATTACAAGAAAAGACCCTGTTTCTAGTGACACCTCACTTTCCTTCCGAGTCTGTTACTGAAGCACTGTTATGTGAAGATAGCTGAAATTAACTGTTACCTCCTGAAAAAAGTAGGAAGAAAACAAGAATTAGACATAGAAAAGCTATTTACACTATACTACATATCTTAAGGAGGTTACCTTTCTCCAATTTTAGGCATCAAATCTCACCTTAAATACCAAGCGATAGGCTATACAGCTTCTAAGCAAAGGCCATGTGAAATGAGAAGGGGAAGAAATATGTGTACCTACTGTGCAAGATGCACTCCTCAGTTGTACAAACTGCATTTTTCAATAAATATGTTTCCAAACTTGGACATTTTTCTTTCAAGAAATAGTACACAATTATTTTTTAAAATAGTATATATTATACATAAAATACAGTTTTTAATCCCAGGAAAGTTAGGTGTTTATATATCTTTCATATTTTTACTTTGTCAAAAATAATCTCTCATAATTGGAGTCCATGAATGGAATAAGGCGAC